ATCAATATACCATAATAATTTCCAGGTGATAATTATTACTTTACGATATCCCCTCATACTTCTCCATCTTACACTTTAGTCATGTCTGGCACAACCTGTAACAAAAATAAAGGACACAATGAGTTGATTTTCTCAAGATCAGGCACTTAGGGACTAATTATGACACTGACAAAAAATTGGGAGGCGGGGAGATCCCCACTAAGTTCATATATATAAATATGTGTGTGTATGTTTACCAATTTTCCAGTCTCTGGAAATATTTTGCACTGTTTAAAAATACTCCTCAAAATTAAGACAATAAACAAATAATTGTATGGGTGGAACTTATGAAAAAAATAACCAGTGAGTCCACCTGAAGCATAGAGCGATGGAGGAGGCAAGACTTGCAGGTGAATCAGCATTTGATACTCAGGTATGCTTGGCCCTTTCCCACCATTTTCCTCTAGAATGAATATATGAAGAGTGTGTTGACAACTGTCGTTGTGTGTCTTCAAATAATTTCTGACCTACGATGATCTTAAGAGAAACTTATCATAGGTTTTTTTTGGCAAGATTTAAGCAGCGGAAGTTTGTCAATGCAGTCCTCTGAAGCTAAGAGAGTGTGACTTGCCCATGGTCGCCCAGTGGTTTTTCCATGGTTGAGCAGGGATTTGAACCCTGTTCTCCAGAGTCATAGTCCAGGGCTCTAACCATTACGCCATGTTGGCTCTCGGGTTGGTAGTACACTCCCTGATGTCCACATGCTGAATATATGTACAATCCCATTTTATATGTTCAGCTGAATGTTCAAGGTTGGGAGGGTCTCAAATGCTACTTCGTGTATTTGATATATGAGTGAACAACTTTTATGCTTGCTAATTAAATTGCAAATGCTGGAACACACAACTCATAAAATGATGAAAAATTGAAACCAACAGTAAGAAGTAACAACACAAAAAGACATTAGCTGCATAGGCTAATCTTTATTCTAAACATTTTTGCACATATTTTTCATGGGAAAATTTTCTCATTTACATCTTAGCAATGTTTGACCTTTTTGTTGGAAAAAGAGAGATATTAAACCATCATGAGAGTAAGAATAAAGACCTATCTACCTACCTACCTATCTCTTATAGGCCTATATATATACAGATATATATTCCCTTTTTGTGTAAGAAAAGGGCTGAGGGTTGTGTCACAAGTTCTCTTATTATGTTATATTTGTCTTTTTTTTATATTGTGTCTGTTTTCAATCTTTGTTGCAGTCTCATCTTTGCCCTCTGTGAGCCCCTCACATCTGTTGACCTCTTTCCATATTAAGGAGCTGAATATATACATTAATAGCAAGGAGCTTTTTCTGCTGTTGTGGAGGAGTGACAACAACAAGCTCTTCTTCTGACAATCTAGTTTCACTTTTTTCCAATATTAATTTATTTCAATACTGTATTATGAATACTGCTTACTTCCACAGTCCTTTAGCCTGTCACAAAAATTCTGCATATGGGAATTGTTGGACAGTGCAAGCCAGTCTTTAGTTTGCTGAAATGTTAATTATTTTCCAGGTATAATTATGCTTCATAATTCCAGTTCAGGAATAGTTAAAATACATATTCTTATCCTCCTGAAAATTGGGAGTGAAGTATATTCATGAGTGGTTGTAAAATCAAAACTGAACTTGTTTCTTCCAGAATTTTATGCTGAAAACATACATTCCTGTAATCAGTGATAAAGTGATGGCACATTATAGTTGCAGATTCCATGGAAGATATTCTAATTTAGATTTATTCTTTCTTAGCTAAACCTCTTTTCTCAATCCAACTCGAGAGTTTTTGAATCACACAGCTTTAATAGCATTCTCAATCAGCCAACACGCTATCAGGTAAGTAGTTACCTGAGCAGCTCACGCATTTGTGATTATATGAATACACTCTGAGTTTTCATGCGATTTCTATGTAGGGTTGTCACACTAAGCAAAAAGAAGATTTTGTGACATCTGTCAATTTTTGAGTACAGGGGTTGCAGGAAGCAGAAACTACTCCTGTGCTAATTTTTCCTATTCATTTGTCATAGTTCTTGTGCAAATTTCCAAACTACTGTTTCATCTCAGGACAGTTTCAAAATTGTGTCTCATTCATTTATGAATGTTTAATCAATTCACTGAATGATTTAATCTGGTTCATAATTAGGTTTGTTTAGGATCACATTTAAAAATTCTTTAGAACTACAGAAATACCAAATGCATGATGGAATGAATTCAACAATAAAACCTTGTGTGTTTTTGATCTTTAGAATCAGTGCTATAACTTTAAAGAATCACTGGTTCTAGCAATGAAAGGAAACATTTTTTGGTGTTATTGTTGTTGTTTTATAGTTGTTGTTTAAAGCACCAGTTAATGCTAAACTACTGAAAAATATTCAGACAAAAGGTCAGAATATGATACATAATATGATACACTGACTCAAGAAAGTCAGTGAGAAAAAGATAAAACATGAATACCAATCTGCATAAATAAACACAAGCACATTATTCAGATACAGAGATATAAAAGATGTTCCCATGCCCTTCTTTCATTCTCTCTTCTCCGTTTTACTGTTGCTGCAAGACTGACCTTGAGACATACAGTATTATATATGAGATTTTTATTTTTTGAATTAAAAATAAAGACTAGCTCTTTGGCAGCTGGAGTGACTTGAAAGTTCCTGCATAGCAGGGGATTGAACTGGATGGCCCTTGTCTCTTCCAACTCCATGATTCTATGAAATCTGAATTCTGACCTAACCTGACATTTCTAAGAGCAGACCTTGAAAATTATTGGTTTTCCTAACTCACAAAATGACAAAAGATGTGTCTGTTTGTCACCCCCAGTTTATTAGAGTTACTAATAAGCAGGTGGTAAACAACCAGAAATAGGTGGTTATGATTAAATTATCTTGATGCTCTCTGTGTTGATCCAGCTGTAGCCTTCACTGTGCTGTGACTTGATGGAAATATGCCATTCTATGTATGCCCCTGTATGATTAGCAGATGCGAACATCCTCTGATTGAGGATCAAGAAGTATGTCTCCCTCTATATCTCTAAGCATGCATTTTGGCTAGAGCACTTTGGCATGGTGCAGAGAATAGGAGCAGGAAATGGTACAATCTCTGTGGCCAACTTATCCTCCCAAAGATAGAGAGAGAAAGAGACATACTAGATTATTGCATTATGTTATAATGCATCTTACCTGAGCCAGCTTAAAATTAGAAGTAGGCGGCATCCTGATAGTATCAGATGCATTTAGCCACCAAAATCACCTCCTGGGTGCAGTCCAAGTCCATTGCTGCTCAGAGAGGCGGTCCAGTGGCCATTTTTTCAAGCCAGAAAACTCCTGGCTTCAAAAAGAGGCTCAAGGAGCATCCCTTGGAGTGGCAATGGGCTTGAGCTGCACCCAGGCGGGAGTTTTGGTGGCTAAATGCATCTGATACTACCAGGATGCCGCCCACTTCTAATTTTAAGCTGGCTCAGGTATGCCACATTATAACATAATGCAATAGTCTCATAACTAAAGAAAGTGGAGGAATGGGAGCAAAATGGGTGGGACTGAAGTTAACAATATTGACACACTCAAACCAGATCCAGCTATTCCATGAGAGGGAATGGCCAATCTTATTGGGGCCCTTCCCGTAAGGTAATCTGAAGGGGATTTTGGAAAAATTAGTCAAGGTTTTGAAGTGGGAATAAACACAAGAGTCTGGAGAAAAATATTGGGGGGAAAGGAACAAAATAATTGTACCTGTTTGTGAACCTGCAGATCAAGAAATAACTGAAGACTGTACTTTCTTGTCACTGGGTTTATCTGTTTAAGTAATGGCTTCTGTTGATTCACCTCAAGTAACAAGCAAAACTAACAATTAAAAAAACAGCTGTTTCAGTAGCAATAGATCACATTATAAAAGACCATGAGCTGAATTAAAGCTACTCTCCTTTGGCTCAGATTTCTTCTGCTAGTCTTTATCAGGGGTCCTCCTTAAGAAAGATTTAAAACCAAAAATTTGACACTGTTTTCACAATTAAGAGAGACCCCAATTTGCTTTAACTTTGGTTGAGGTTGGTGCTGAAATAACCTTAAGGCTGATAGTGCATGGGAATCTTGGTACAGGGGAAGGACTGAGAAGAGGGAGTGAGCAATTCTCACCTACATAACAGGGTTTAAGATATTGGGAGTATTACATATGAACTGTGATTCTATGTGCCCTATCCTTTCACTTCACACAATTTACCATATGAATTAGTTCACACACACCCTTGTGCCATTTCTGAGCTTCCTCATCTGGCTTTTTCAGAGTTATTGTTCTGTTGAGGTGTCATATCCACAAGGCTATGGATCTGCCATAACAACGGATATGGGGAAACGGGAATAATTATTATCTTCAAATCTTGATCATAGCTCTTGCCTTGCCTTGCTAAGTCCTGCCAGGCCAGGTCAAAACTGGGTGCGTTTTCACGACACATACTGTCTTTTTCTGTAATCATTCATGCTGATACCTTTGTTTTTACCCTTCAGTGTTTCCTTTTTCTGTTGACAGAGGGATGTGTTGTAATTAAAGGAAAGAGAGTAGTTTTACTTGAACTAGGAACCTCCATAACTTTTTGGAAATAACAAAATGGGATTTTAAAAAAGAACACTTTGCTGACATCTTGTGGTGAAGGGGGCTTGTAGTTGCTAACCCTTTGCTCATTTGTTATTGTACATTTGGAGTTTATCATGGGAGGGGGATTTGGGAGTTTAAACAGGGTTTATCCTGTGAAAATACAATCAATATTAAAGTGTGATTAAGATTTTCACACACAGTGTGATAAAAAAGCCATTATCCCGGGAATAACCAGGCAATAAACAGCAACAAATCATTCACGGGATTTGGCACTTTAATTGCTTTTGGTCGTGACATTGTGTGAAAACCTTTATCGCAATTGCTCGATTTTCACGGGACATTCCCAGGATAATAGCACTTTAATAGCAACGTTGTGTGAAAATCTTAAACGTGAATGTGCAATTTTCACGGGATAAACACCATTTACACTCCCAATTGTCCCCATGTGATAAAGTCCTTTGAAAGCTATAGAAATAAGTCTTGAGGGATTGCCTAGTCAAGCATTCTGTTCCACTTCCCACAGTGATCAACCAATTGGCCATGGAAAGTCCATATGCAGAAATTGAGCACAGCAGCACCCTCCAGTTCATCTTTTGCAGAAACTGGAATTCTGGGCAGAGGTTGGAAATGTTACTTCTGGGGACTAGAACACTTAGGACATTATCACATGAGCGCCAATTCCATTACTGTTGCGCTATTGAAAGATAATAGAATAATAGTGCTACAGTGATTAATATTTTCGCACAGTCACGTGATAATGATAATATAAAAATGGCAGATAAACACAATTGTGTTCCGCATACATCCATTCTTGTATTGCTAATATATCATTATTGAATGTTTTGTGCATGCATCATTTGGGCACTACTGAGCACATCTGAAAATTATGGTTCAGTCCCGAACAGAACAAAATAAACTCGATATATTTCAAAACATTATTTTCATACAATTCAAACAAAAACGTGCCATACACCTCAAAATAAGAGAGAAATCCACTGCAAAAACAACCGTAGCAATGAGAACGAATTGCCTGTATGGAAATGCTGTCTGGGGAAAGGTCCTAGTTAGCTCTCTGCGATAGTGTGAATGTATCAT